CGGTGTCGAATAATCTGGTGTCGAATCGTACGGTGTCGAATAATTTGGTGTCGAATAAATCTGTGTCGAATCGTACTGTGGTCACTAGAGTATCACCCATCTTAATAACATATGTGAAAAAGAAGCCGATCGGAGGGAGCTCCCCTATTCTGTACATTTACCTCTCCTTTAGTTTGTTAGTTATTAATTTTGCAACTAACTGTGATGCTATGTGGTTGCGACTTAAGGGTGATAACTTGTCGACGTTGGCGTAAGAGTTACAATAGTAACTCATAAGTAATGATAACTCGCTCGGAACAGTGGGTTTTTGATTATGTTAGTTAGAACAAAATGGTGATACTGGTAACTTTACTCGCGAACTTCGACTCTCGTAGCACCGATTTTAACGTAAGTACCGATTTACCGACGGTAAAAGATCTGGATAGTTTTAGGTTCTAGAGGAAAAGACGGCAGGGCCGAGTAATAAAAATATATATATAACTACATATAAATACTACTTAGAGATATATTAAGTGTAAATATAAATATATAATATAATGACCAGGAGTGGCCTCAGGTTCAGTTTGAAAATAATTCAATGTTGATTAGACAGGGCGTATCTGAACAAGTTGCTGGATGGTTTTTGCATTGAGGTAAAATTCAAAACGACCAAATTTTCCTAAGCGTTTCGACTATATTTACAGTCATCTTCAGTGGGTACTGNTAAAAAATTACATATGACAAAACTTTAATTTACAATCGAGTAGCATAAGTATTGACGTATGAATAATATAACAACATTACTTACAATAAAGTAACATTCACATTTAAAAATATTAAATTTTCAAGCTGTTGACATATTGAGCTTGTATACACGACTGACACAAAATGAAAGTCACTTGGAAAACAGAAATTTATTAAGGCTTGTTTGCAGAGTTTATCGTCAATTGATTCAAAAGCGGTAAATATAAATCGTCCAAAAGTTCAGTGTCTGTCATTCTGTTTAGCGCTTGTTTTTGAAGCTTACTGTGTAACATTTCTGACGTTAGTTTTTTAATATAATTCGGTTTTTTGTCTAAAATATGTATGGAGTTCCAATCAAAATCATGACCTGTTTGTAAAAAATGTTCTGTGATAACTGAGTTTCTATTGGCGTTTTTGACATAGTTTTTATGTTCTTTAATTCTATTGTTTATTTGTCTTTTTGTCTGGCCCACGTAATTTGCTTCACAAATTTGGCACTGTATATTGTAGACGACGTTCATCTGTTTTTCTGGAGGGATAGGATCTTTGTGAGATTTGATAAATTTATCCAATTGATTCAAATTTCTATATAATAATCTAGTCTGTGGAATTTTTGTGTTAATGAAATTGAAATTGCTGTTGGTTTTTTGACATAGGTGTGAATGGGACTACAAAGAATTTTACTGGAGGTGTGTCTAATTAATAAAACCTGTTTTACAACAATTCAATCTTATTGAAGCTCGATAAGTTACTAAACTAAGAAATAATACGGTCATCCGAACCGATCGCAGGATGTTGTGCGGAAAACTGCGTATATGTATATATATGCATATTTACAGGGTGTCC